GGGCCTGCCTCCTCAGCAGCCTTGCTCTTTTTGTTGAAAGGGTCCCTCCCTCCATCACATCCTCTGCCACAGTCATGCCGCATCTCTCTGCTAGAAGGCAAGAGAGGCAGACTTTGAGTAGCCGGGCAGCCTCATGAACAGAGGCGTGAGGGTGGGTCTGAGCCCAGAGCTGAGACAGCCCAGCTGATGAGGCAGGCAAGACCCTCCGGAGCGAGTGTTCCCCCAAGGGCACACCCCGCCCTTCCCAGAGTCCAGGAGCCATGTTTCTGCCCCTTCCCAGTCTCAGGCGGAGAGAAGGACACCACAGACCCAAGTGCGCAGTGCGGATTCCACATTCTCCACCTGATTCGGCACTCGGCCACACTCCTGATTCCCAGGAGGGCCAGCAAGGACCAGGTGTGACAGGGAGATGGGGAGCAAGCCAGAGGTGACTGTGGCTAGGACCTCCCCTGTGGAGTCTCAGTTTCCTCATCTGTCTGTAGGCATCTATAGTTTCCTCATCTCTGTCTCTATCCCTACTTATATTTTATAAGCTTATGTATATAAGCAATACCTACTTTACAATTGCAAAGCTTTTTGACTTTTTTCATAAGCATTTCCTAATATTTCACCAGCCATCGCAGAAATGCGATTAGAGGGGTATAATAAATCAAGTACATAGTAGGTGAGGCACACCAGCCTCCTCAACCAGCCTCTGTTTCCACCGTTGCTTCTGCAGTCTGTGGTCAAAACAGCGGCCAGGACGAGCCGATTAAAATACAACCAGACCATGTCACGGCTCTGCTCAGAACCTTTCCATGGCTTCCCAGCTCTCAGTACAAGTCAAAGTCCTTAGAGGAGCCCACAGTCTCCAACTAGTCTGTCCCCTCCAGCCTCCAGCCTCCCTTCCTTCACTGCACCCCTTGTTCTTTCTCAAACAAGCCAGATGCTCCCCAAACACCCACTTGAGCACAGGAGGGTTCCGTCACCTCTTCCTAGTCTGCATTCAGCTGTTACCTTCACAGTGGGGGGCTTCCCTCTTGCCCCTTTAAAACTGCAACCCCCCTCCCAGTCCCCTCTCTGCTTTATGTTACTGGAGAGCGCTCTCCCGTCTAACATACTGTAGTTTACCTATTTATTCTATTTATCTCTCTCTCCACTTGAATGTAAATTCCACGAGGAAAGGGGTTTTTATTGTTTTGTTCAGTGCTGTGTGCCCAAGCCCTAGAACAGTCCCTGTTGAATGAACAAATGCTTTAAGTGTTCGTCCCTGCAGGTATATTCCAAGGCTGAGCTGATTAAAGGCCCAGCAGTACCAGGCATGGCAGCTTCCAGACCACACGAGCTTTATCAACAACGCTATGCATTCTGGAATGTTGCCACATGCAAGCCTCTGTGAAGGTGGGGGACAGCCTGAGCGGCAGCCAGCCCATCATCAGAGGCTTCACAGACGCACAGAAACAGAGGAAGAGAGCATATACCATGACTCAACTTAGCACTGCCAGATAGATGCTACCAGAGCCTTAGAATAGGAGACAATGAGCCGGGGCAAGGCTATCACCAATAACGTGAAAGCACTGTTCTCCATTTCAGACAATGGAATGTCAATCTCTAAATGATTGCTTCCTTAGCGTGCTAGAGACATTATTCAGAATGAATCAGCTCTCCAGCTCTGTCATGTAAATAACATCTACTTCCTTTCCTGAAAATCAGTAAGGTGGAAATCAGGTTTTTTGAATGACTGAAATAAAGCACATCCTGGATGGAAAGATCAAGCTAGATGCTGGGAGCAGGGTTAGGATTTCACGAGAGCTTTGCCAACATATACACGTGGTCCCTGACTTACGGCGGTCCCACTTAGGGCTTTTCAACTTTACGGTGGTGCGGAAGCCATGCCTGTTCAGCAGAAATCGGACTTCAGATTTTGAATCTTGATCTGCTCCTGGGCTAGCGAGATGTGGTACAATCACCAAGCTGCAGTTCTGACAGCGAGGCCATCATGAAGATGCACAACGACACACTCACAACCATCCTGTACCCAACAACCACGGTTCCTTACCTCCGGCACCATGTCCAACAAACTATATGAGCTGTTCAACACTTCGTGACAAAATGGGCTTTGTGCGAGATGATTTTTCCCAACCGTAGGCTAAGGTAAACGCTGTGAGCGCATTTAAGCTAGGCTAGGCTAAGCCATGGTGCTCGCTCGGTAGGTTTGGTGTGTTAAATGCATTTCTGAATTATGATACTTAATATCTTCAATCTATGATGAGCTTATTTGGGACCTAATCCTATCATAAGTGGAGGAAGATATGTGCATGATATGATCATTATTGGGCTACGTGAATCTGAATGCTCTGACCCAGAGTGTTACACCTGGTGATTCTGCTTGGACGGATTTCCCACGTGGAGCACAAAAATTCTACCCATAGAATTTCTGTCTGTTTAAATGAATTGAGAGTCAGGCTATGGGGCACAAAACAAAATGGTTTATCCTATCCATATCTTTTTGAAAAAAAAATGAATGCTCTTTAATTGCATTTCCCCTCACATCTCAGGTCTTAAAAAAATCAGAGGCTTTAAGCTAGCTCATAAAAACCTTCACCCCCTCATTTCAATACTCAAAATATTTTAAAGTGTCAGATCTGCTGAATTATAGCAGGGAACCAAACATTTGGAGGGCTCTGATCAGAAGGGGACATTCTGTCAGGGTAGTTAACACATTTAACAGTTTCTTCTTCTTAAAAAAAAGGTCCAGAAAAGAGGCTGCAGAACCGTGCTTGTGATTTTCTGTATCAATTAAGACTGTTTTAAAAATAAGCTTACTTGGGGCACCTGGGTGGCTCAGTCCATTGAGCTTCATGATCTCACACTCATGAGTTTGAGCCTCGCCTCAGGCTCTCTGCTGAAGGCTCTGAGCCTGGATCTTGCTTTGGATTATGTCTCTCTCTCTCTCTCTCTCTCTCTGCCCCTCCCCAACCCACACTCTGTCTTTGTCACACTCTCTCTCAAAAATAAACATAATACATTTTTTTTAAATAACTAAACTTACTCTCAGTTTATATGTGGACTGAGTCTCGCTGTTATAAATTAGTTGTAATTTCATTCTGAGTAAACTGAGCTAGCCAACAGAGGTATGATTTGCACTCAGACCCAGTGTTCAGGAGAAAGAAAAGAAAAAAAAAGGAAGACCCCCAGGGCAGGGGTAAGGCTAACAGGGATATCGCACACTGGGGGTGGCCCCAGGCTTGACACTTCCCAGACCAGGGGCAGAAAGGAAACCTTCCCGATCGCCCTGTGCTGCTCCTGGAGGAACAAATGTCTGGAGAGAGCACTTAAAATTTTTATATGGCGGCTTTCCTTTCTTGAGAAGAGTGTCTGAATCGAGCTCCTGTGGCTCACTCAGATTAGAAGCTATTGGAAAGTGCCCCGATGCCAAAGGCCACATCTGCAATACGGGCGTGTAATCCCTCTTGACTCTGAAGATGTATTTATGCAACGTTTCCGAAGCCCAGGGAACAACCGCTCAAAATCCTTTACAACCCCTCGCCCGGGGAATGGGTACACTGAACAGTGGTGTGCAACACTTTTTCACCAGATGAGAATTTGAGGCTAAAAAGGCAGGGTAATTCCACTTTTACAAGGAATTGGGAGGCAAATGCCAGCCTTGGGTTATCCAGTAACCATCCTTAAAAAGGGTTTAACAATTAATTCTGGACTCTTATTACTAAGAAAACAAACAAGGATATGGTATCTACTTAGATGCATGGAAATCGAATCCGTCTCTCTGTGGTTTCTTATTTAAATGCAGTGGGGGCAGTATCCTGCCCCTAAAAACCTTCCCTGGAGACCCCTAAGCCACTTGGCCTTTGGGGGAAATGGAGTAAAGCAGGTAAGAAAGACCTGCTTCCCTACTTCTTTCCTCCCACAAATGGCCTCTGCTGAGGCGCTTCCAGGATGTTATGTCTCTACTAGCAATCTGACTTTATTTTGCCCAAGGTTCTGGAGGAGCACATCTGACTGAGGATTCCACAGCTTCCACAGGGTTCCGGCACAGGGGCATCAAGAGTGGGAGGGGTCAATGTCAAACACAGATCAGCAGAAGCATCCCGGACAAGGAGCAGCTGGCCCACCCCCCTCCGCAGCAAACCCAGCTCCGGTTTCCAAAGGGAAGGTGGGGACTTCAAAGGAATCTCACCTGCTGCTGCAAGTCCCCACCTGTGTGCGCTCAGAGAGGGAAAGGGACTCCATCCCCAAAGGCGAGCATCCCGGAGCCCAAGTTGGGCGCCGGGCAAATTGGCAGAAATTCGTAGTCTACACAGGAACAACTCCTACCTCCGAGCAATAGCCACACATCAACCTGGTCCAGTAATCTGTCAGGAGTGAATCATTTAAATACACCCTTGTCTGGAAGCAAGCGAATAGGACTTGAAAATGATTTTCAATCGAAAAACAATGCGGCGAGCAAGGCGGCTCCGGGAGGCTGTTCGGCGGGTTACCGGGGGCGCGAAGGAAGAAATCTCGGCTCTCTCGTCTTTCTTCCCCCCGTGACCTCCTGGGGGCCATAACCGCACACCCGAATTCTGGCAAGAATTTGGCCCGGCGGGAGCGGCACACCGTCGCCCTCCCTCCCCTCGGGGCCCCGGCCATCCCTGTGCTAAGGTGCCTCTTCCAGTCCCCCCCCCCGCCCCCCAAGAACCGTAATCTATCCTCAATCCCCGTCCAGGAAAAAAAATGGGGGGAGGGGGGATTAAAACCAGAATAAATCACGTTTGCTTCCAAACGGGAAGAACCGAGAGCTACTCGCTTCCCCTTCCCGTTCCGAGCCCCTCGGATCATTCTGGGTAAAGCGGGCCCCGCACGGGAGTCCCCCGGGGGCTCGGCGGCTCGCACGCGGGGAAGCCCCCGCACGGCCCCCGGGCCCAGCGGGCGCCTCGCCCCCCGCCCCCGCCCCGCCGGGCCCCGCACGCGGCCCGGGCGCCGGCAGCGCCTGAGGGGGTGCCTCCCCCCCCCCCGCTCACCGAGCACCACCGCGGCCACGGTGCACAGCAGCAGCCAGTTGCTCCTCAGGAAGCGCCTGCAGTCGCGCCCCTTCCTCGCCGGCTTCCCCATGGCGGGCGCGGGGACCGGGGGCCGCTCCTGTGCGCGGGGGGCCGGCGGCGGCGCGGGCGGGACGCGGGCGCGCCGGGGACCGGGTGCGCGCCGGCTGCTGCGGCCGCCGCGGTCGCTGTCACCGTCGCTGTCGCCGCCGCCACCTGAGCTCGCGCGCCGCGCCCGCCGCCCGGGCCCCTCGCCGGCAGTGCGCGTCGGGCGCGCCCGGCTCCTCCCGCCGCCGCCGCCGCCGCCGCCGCCGCGCTCTGCGGCGCCCGGCCAACCAGCGAGGGGGGGGGAGGGCGGAGCGGCGGGCCGGGCGGCCGAGGGGGCGTGCGCCGCGCCGGGGGCGCCGGGAGCCCGCAGCCCCTCCCCCGCCCTCACCTGGATCGCTCGCGCTTTTTTTTTTTTTGTCCTGCCCGACCAGCTTTTCGGATGCAGGGCGGCCCCCCTCCCGGCCCGGAGGGGCGGAGCCACTGTGGTTCGCACCTCCGCCTGCACACACCCCCGCCCCACCCCTCCGCGGGCTCCACGCCGCCCGCCCCGCGGCCCCGCGAACCCCTGGCCGGTGGGGGCGGGGGGGGGGGTGAGGGAAACTGAGGCCTGTCGTGGGGCCCTCTGCTCCCCGCCGCACCCGCGGGTGTGCCCCCAGTCTGGTGAGCCTGAAGCCCCTAGCGGGAGGGGCAGGTGGGGTGCTGGGGGAGGAACGGGGTGCAGAGCAGGACTCGGGTAACCCTCACCTCTGCCCCCCTCCCGCCCCCAGCCTGTGTTATGAACTCTCCTCTCCGAGCAGCGGGCGGCGAGGTTGGGCTGTCTGTGGACACAGGGCTTGGAGGGGGCCCTCTTAGAACTTGACTGTCCCTGGGGCCGCCAAAGGCCCCCAAACTTGAGACTTGGCAGAGTAATTAGGTCTGAGCGCCCGGCCGTGCGGGGAGACGGTGGGCGGGCCCATCCCTAAGGCCAAATGCACTGGAAAGGCAAACAGGGGAGATGGAGAAACCAGGTAAGTGGTGCCAAGTATGTTCTGTGAGGCTGAGCGAATTTTCGAATTGTATTTCGTTCTTCTACCCCATTATTTCACCCTCACTGAAACCTTTTCCTCTCCTTTCCTTTCTTCTATCACCGCCTCCGCAGCCCCAGGGTGCCTTCTCGCCAGCTTTCCTGACGTTAAGTAAGCCCTGCACATTTTTGTTAGTCTGGTGTCTACTCGCTGAATGGGGAGGGTGGGGGAGCTCCCCAACTAGATTATCTGATGATTAACACCCCACAATTAGAGCTTCATTCCTTTGGCTGAAATTGATGGAAGCATTCTTAAAGAGAATTCATTCAGCTTTATGAGCCACATACACTTTAGTATGAATGACTTTGTCAGCTCCTTTCTAGAAAATACATTTTGAGAGAAGGAAGGACAGAGGAAGACCAAGGTTTTTGTGTGCCTGAGGAGGAGCTGAGGAAACGTCAGGAGGGAAACTATCACGAAAGAGGGGAGAGCGATATTCATCCCACAATAAAACCAGAAATACACAGGTGTCCAACATGAAAGGAAGGGCAAGTATATTACAGGATGGTCATGCAGTAGTACCTTATGCAGCCTATAGAAAGGAAGTTTGTGCAATTTCTAATTGCACAAGATAGCCCACATTACAATATTATGGGAGGGGGGGAAGGAAGATTAAATTGTATATACAGTTTGGTCAAAGTCATGTAAAACAAACATATAAAACAAAATCAAGTGCTTTGGGAAAAAGTCTAGAAGGAAATATGCCAAATTTTAACACTGGTCATCTTTGGGTGCTAATAATACCTTGTTGGAATCTTTTTGCTTTCTATCTTTCTGCATTTACCAAAGTGTTTACCATAAATATAGTCACGCCCATTACAGTTGCGGGTAGAGCTTTATTTAAGAGAGAAACAGAACCCAATGAGAGAGAAAAAGGTGGAAGAAATGAACATGAACTTGTACCTCACAACTTTTTGAGGTGTATTTAAGAACAATTAGGTTTAAATCCCAGCACTACCACTTACCAGCTGGGCACCTTGGGGCAAGTTGCTTAAATTTTCTTGGTCTCAGTTTCTACATCTGCAAAATGGAGGCATTAATACTCTTTGTCTTGTGGGGGTCTCTTAAGAGTTGAAGACAACGTGTGTGAAAGACTTAGTGCCTGGCAGGGAAGTACCGTCACTAGTTTTACTTGGAGCCCACCGAGCAGGCATCTGTTACTCCCTCTCGCTTGTGGCCTGCTTGTTACACATGAACACACCTGCAGTGCTTCAGACCCACTAAGAACTCTTGCATATTTATAAATAGTCATTGCCTTTTAAAGTTGGAAAGGACTCTCAGTCTACTACATTTTCACACTCAATGCCTATATAGTGCATAGTTGCTTTATGCTTATTTTTTATGTGTATTTATTTATTTTGAGAGAAAGAGTGAATGCCAGTAGGCAAAGGGCAGAGAGAGAGAGAGAGAGAGAGAGAGAGAGAGAATCCCAAGGAGGCTCCATGCTCAGCGTGGAGCCCACAGCACGCAGGGCTCCATGTCACAACCATGAAATCATGACCTGAGCTGAAAGCAAGACTCAGGTGCCAACTGAGCCACCCAGGAGCCACCTATACTTATTTACGTTATGCAGTTTTAAAATAGTGTAGTATTAAAGTGAATAAGACCAAAACATATACACTTGTTTTGAAATAATAAAAATCTCCTGTATTGAGAATACAAGTCAAGAATCTCAGAAGTTCTAAGCGGGTGGGTCAGGTGAATTGTACACTGTGTCTACGCTTGCTGCTCCGTGGCAATCCCACTTTAGCTGGCAATAAAAAATAATTAGAAAGCAGACTCAATGCACGTAGCATGTGCCAGGCACCTTTCCAACCACTTTGATCCTCCCAACAACTGAGTGTGGTAGGGACTGTGGTTCCCTCATGGGGCTGTCGTAAGAATCAGATGAGATACTGTGTGTCATCATCCTCTTCGTTTTACAGCTGAGGAATCTGGGGCAAAATGAAGGTTAAGTAACTTCCTCTAGTTCGCTCTGTTAGGGAGACGACAATCCAGGTGAGAGACGTGGTCTCTGGCGCAAGGTGAACGCACCAACTCTGTGCGTGAAACAGCCATCTCTTAGATGAGGAACAAATACAGAATTGTCACAGCGAAATTGCTTGAGTTACTCTATGCGAGATCTTCAGGAATCCATCCGTCCGTATCCAGGAGCCACGAGGCTGTCCTGGAGTATTGTGCTCACACGGAAGCGATCTACATTTTATGGGGCGCCGCGTGCACTCTTGAATTCACTCTCGGTTGCTGCTGTTGGCTCCTAATGTGATTTCCTTGCCTCATCTTAGGCAAAGATAAGATCATCACTTATAGGTATGAGAAGCATCACTTTGGAGAGGGAGGAGATTGGAGACCCCTAAGGCATAAGTTTTACTTTTTTATTTTCATTGCCTGTGATAGTCATAGACACAAATAATCTCAAATTGGACAAGAGCCAGGAGGCATTTTTCTTGTAAGTTGTCCCCTCCAGGGGATCTTCACCACTCAGGTCCTGGAGCAAAATCGTCACTCTCCTGAGGTAAGACCTTAAAGCCAGGTAGAAAGAATTGTTAGGACTTTCCCCCTTCAATAGGTGTTAACATCCACTTTTTTTCCCCTGACCCCACCCCTCAAACCCCTTTACCCTGCTGATATAAGCCTTTGGCTGTTTCTTAATACATTACATATTGCCAGTGTGCTTTAAAAAAAATTTTTTTTAATGTTTTAATTTTTTGAGAGAGAGAGAGAGATTATAGAGTCAGCGTGAGCAGGGGAGGGTCAGAGAGAGAGGGAGACACAGAATCGGAAGCAGGCTCCAGGCTCAGAGCTGTCAGTACAGAGCCCAACCTGGGGTTCGAACCCACGAACCGTGAGATCATGACCTGAGCTGAAGCTGGATGCTCAACTGAATGAGCCACCCAGGCGCCTCCGCCCCCACCTTTTAAAAATAACATTTAAGTAACTGGCATTTCATTTATTGTCTTTCTTTCTTTCTTTCTTTCTTTCTTTCTTTCTTTCTTTCTTTCTTTCTTTCTTTCTTTCTCCCCTTAATTGTTGACTCATGGACTCTCTTGTTAGTTATTAGAGAAGAGGGACTTTGACTTTGCCATACAAGGTTACATCGTCAGGGGACAGCATGGGCTTATATATTATTCGGGACAGAAGTGAAGAGCATGCGGAGACAAAAAGTAAGGCACCAGCTTCTGATCAACTCTAGAAATAGTATGCTGGTTGCATTCTGCCCTCATAAAACATCTGCACTTGGGTGGTTTGTCCTCATGCTGCGGTGATGGGGAGAAGGAGGTCATGGGGCCCCAGAGTCTCCTTCAGCATCTGTGGCTGTGCGACCATTCATGACTGATGGATAGTAAGAAGGATGCCGTCAGCATGGTTTGACACCCATTTAGCAATCTCTTCCTTGTTGAATTCATCTTGCAATTATAAATTAAAAGGTAAACTGTAATTTATTAAAGGGTCACAATAATTCTCCAAGAAATATTTTATAAAGATGATCTGGCCTGAAGAGACTTATATATTATTTAGATGTCCTTGAACTCCGAATTCAACAGAACTTTGCCCATGGGCTGTATTGCTTACTCTGGCAAACTGAAGAACAATTCTATTTCACTTTAGAATCTACATCTATTTATCTATATCTATATATATATTTATATCATGTATCTATATCTATATAGGAAAAAGGTATCTGCTACATAGAAACTGTGTGTCCTTCAACAAGTCATTTAACCTCTCTGAACCTCAATTTCCTCATCTGAAGATACCATTTGAAGTAATAAATATGAATGGCCAATACATATTTGAAACATGAACACATTTCAATCTCATTAGTACTCAAGGAAATGAAAATTAAGATCAGTATTTCTTTGCCAGCTAAACAAAGATATTTTAAAATGTATAATATTAACATTATAAATTGTAAACCTAGAGAAAGTTTGCAGAAATGGGCAGTGTCACATACTGCTGG